CATTTGGACAAGAACTATGTAAGGTTCAGTATGACTGAATGACAGGAAGGAAAGAATGGAAAAGATGAGGCCTATAAAGCAAGCAGAGATTAAACAAGTATAGCAAATGAATTTGTTAAGAACCATATTTCTCAACCACTCAGAACATTACCTACAAGTTTTAACAAAACAGAACTTTTTGTTGTAGGAATCATGTTTGGAGTGCAAAAGTGTAAGTGAAATAGAGTATAGACATTTTATTTCATAAAACTTATTGCAAGCCTTTATTAATATGTGATTTGCTTACGGCTTTTGCTCACATTTTTCATCTACTTACTATTGTCCTATTATATCATTGATAGGTTCAAAAGTTGGGAGTTCTGAAGACTTATAATGTGTCTTATTTTCTTATCCATAGAGATAAGAAAGGACAAAGGTAGGAATCCATTTTCAGGGCTGGTATAAATTAGAGACATAAATATCTACCAGTGTCCAGCATATGCTAGACACTCAATATGTTAGTCTCCTTGGACAAAAGCCCAAGGAAACAAATCGTTTTTTCTAGCCTAAAAGTTCTCAACCCAGGCTGCACATTAAAATCACATGAAAAACTTCCAAAAATATTAATACCCAATCTTGATATAATTTAACAGGTCTGGGTGGAGCCTGGGTATGGTATTAGTTTTAAAAGCTTTTAAAGTGATTCTGACATGAATGCAAAGTTTAAAACTGCTGACCTAGCCAAGAAAGGCTAACCTTTTCATCCTTCTGAAATCAAGGTGTGTGTGTGCATGTGTGCACGTGTGTCTCACACAAAACAAAACCTAAAACATGAGCTCTGTTAAGAAAAAACAACTGCAGGCCATAACTGACCCGGATGAGAGCTGGCAACACACTTGGCTGACTTCTGAGATTCTATTTTTAATGTTACATCCACACTGGTTATGTAACATTGGGGCTAAAGGTTTACATAACAAATCCCTTAAAATTTGTAAACAAAGATTTACAAAAATCTTCATTTCGTTAAAAAATATTTCTATAGCAAAATTTCTTCTTATACGGGAAAGCTACAGTTTCTTTACAAGTTCAAGTTTGATTTAAAAAAAATATATTTTATTGATTTTTTACAGAGAGGGAGATAGAGAGCTAGAAACGTCGACGAGAGAGAAACACCGACCAACTGCCTCCTGCACATCCCCCACTGGGGATGTGCCCGCAACCAACGTACTGGAATCAAACCTGGGACCTTTCAGTCCGCAGACACCGGTTTCGGCTCAAGTTTGATTTTTTTAAAGGCACTGTTCACTTTGAATCCTTGTGGTTTTTTTTTTTGTTTTTTTGAAATTCCCTACTCATTTTGAGGTTCATTCACTTCTAAAGAGGACTCTTTAAGAAAATTAACTTAATAAAAACAAAATGAAGCTAACACTATGATATATGGCAGTTTGGTAAATGTTTATGTGTGTGAATAACTTATAGACTTTAACCTCTTAGTTACAGGATCACTTTTACCTTACTCCTAGTCTAGATGATGTTACTGATACTATTTTTTTATATATATACTTTATTGATTGCAGACAGAAAGGGAGAAGGGGAGGGAAACAGAAACATGAATGGAATCATTGATTGGCTACCTCCTGCATGACACCTACTGGGCAAGTGCCCTGACCGGGAATTGAAGTGTGACCTCCTGGTTCATAGGTCGATGCTCAACCACTGAGCCACACTGAGCTATTAATAGTTTATGTTTCCTAGTAAGTTTTCATAAAATGTGAATAACTTATCCTTCTATACTTCAAAAATATTGTTTTAGAAGTCTAAACTCTTTAGAAAGTACAGGATGAAAATTATGTACAAAGTAGAGCATAATTATAAGAAAAGATACTATATATAGATATGCATGGTATTTCCTCTGAAATATTCATTTAAAAAGCTCTCTTTGTATAGAGTATATTATGTGAAGTACACATAGAAAAAGATGTACTAATATTTAAGAAGTAGAACGAAATACATAACATCAAAATTACTGGTGATTTCCAGTAAGATCTGTGTACTGAACTGGATTAATTTTATTTTCCTTAAACTGTGCTGGGCACACAAACATTCAACACTGTTTATAAGAGGTTAGGGAAAAGTTTGTAAAGATGTAGCATATGAAATGACAGCTATTTTTACAAATAACATTGCCATAAAAAGAACAGAAATGAAAAAGAACATTATATATTTTACTTCAAAGACTTACTTTTGAAATACCTTGTTCTTTCCCAAATGAGTTAAAATATAATGGATATTCTGAAACTTCTCAAAGTCCCTGATGGCTAGACATTGGGAGATACCTTTACTTCTATATCCAAAGGATTCTTCTGTTATCTTACAGCCTTGAGACAAAAGTCTGGGTCTCTAGCCCCCTGCTGTCCCGCTTCCCTGATTATTCAGCTGGAAGAGAGGTGGTGAGAAGATACTTAATGGAGAATGAGCTGATTCCGTTCTCCACCTTGAGCTAGCTAAATGTTATGATTTAGAGTTGCATAGGCACCTGCTTTGTGGATGGGTTACTAAGTGCTTGCATGACTGACCACATCACATTTTTCTTCTCTGAAAATCTCTGGGGGGAGGGAGGGAAGGGAAGGGAATCTACATTTCTCAATGTGTCAATGAAGATCTTTAAAAGGACAGACTTAGGTTTCTAGTTTTTCATTTTTGTCAGTAGTGAGACCTAATAAACCCCTTTTAAGTAGCAACGAGCAGCTTCATAAACTGATTACCTTGGACTGAACTACAGAGAGAGCAATAGTACTCTACTCAGCCTTGAGTAAGGCCTTAGAACATTTGCAAGGGGCAGAAGAAAGTACAAAGGCTAGGAATATGGCAGGGGAAAAAAACCTAAAACTGAGAAATAAAGCTTTAAGTAACAAGGATGCTAATTTCTGCCTGAGGAATAAGTAGATCATAGCAGTCTTTAATATTAGCTTATTTAAGTTAGGTGGGTTTTTTAATTAGGTTTCTGGTTACCCTAGTTCCAAGTCTTCCATAGACATTAACACTTTAAATTCAGCAAATAATTCTACTATATTTTTAATCTTAAAAGGAAGTTTTTAATTTCAAGTCTTTGGTATTAGAATTATCAGAATACTTTTAGTGTTAGATACCTAAAATTTCATTTTTTTATCACTTTAAAAATTCAATACATATTACCATGACATAAAATCCTTAAATGACTTGATAATCATATATAAAACTGTTTATTGGTCTAAATGTTTTTTTAGGAAGTTTCTAGAAGCAACTGGGTCCAATATCAATCCTCAAATTATTAAATGACTACCAATTTCAATGAATGCTGAGACTGATATAACTTCATTAGAAGTCATTATCTGACCTTTGGATAAGTAAGCACATAGGATAGCTTAGAAAGTCACCATTAGGACAAGAAGAAGCCCACAGGAAAGGAAGTGCAATTAAAAAACCTCCTGGTTCATTCATTTATAAGGAAGAGAAATTTTGATTAATGCTGTAAAGAATTTCCAGTTGCTAACTAATCCAGTCATTTTCCCAATCTTCTTGGCGACTGGAAATAGGTTAGAAGTGGGAGGTAGTGAATAGAATGAAGATGAGAAGTGTGTGTTTAATCACTCCCATTAAAAGTATGGGAAAAAGATAAACCCCAAACACCAAAGAATATTCTTTCCTTAAAGTGTTTTTCAAATAAATGAGACTAATCTCCAGAACAATGTACAGCCATGGATAGGTTAGCACCGTTAGGAAGGGGGACAATGGGATAACTCTTGAGCACTGTATAATCAAGACCCAGGAGATCTGACTTGTTTCCATTTCCTAGCAGAAGAAAATGTGAAATGGTAGCAGCTGACATTTTAGCTTATCTGAAATGATGAAATAAAAACAATGGTGCAACACATCACTTAAATGAAAAAAGAAAACCAAAGGTACAAATCTAAATGTATGTGCTCACTGTTTAATATTCTGAGGATTAAGTAACAAAATCAAAAAAAGATTTTTTTACTTGACTGGGTTTATTTTCTATGAATTCTCCTAAGAGTTAAAAACAATCACACGCATAGGTTTAGAACAATCAGATTTTTACTTCAGGAAAATCTAATACCTTTCTTAAAAGTTATAATTTTAATGTTAGCACACACACAAAAAAATCACTCCCTAACATTTCATTTTAAAAAAGCTTTCCCGCAGCCAAAGATTCCTATTTTTTAATTACAGTACTGCAAGGCACATACAGAACTCACCTCCTTCAAAACACACAGAAGAGGGACTCCCTGAAATAGAATTTTTAAATCCCTAAACAATTAGAAATACTATAAAGTTAGCAATGTGTAGGCAAAAATGTTGCTCCTATAGGATCATGCACTTTTTCTTAAAATCAAGTCATCATGTACGTATAAATAATTCCTTTAAAAACATTTGTACTTCAAATGCAGGTAGTGATGCTGAGGACAGCATTAAATAAGCCTGACAAGTACAAGAGCTTGATAAATTTTATGTTATTGCCTTCATTAGAGACCCTTATCATCTCTCATATTTTCAAAGATTTCAATTTAATAATGGGATAACTACACAGGAAATAAGGGCTTTTCTTCTTTTCAAACAATATTTCCTTCATCTCTAACATAATTCTTTTATGAAGGATGCTAAGTGAATAAAAATTTTTCTTCAGTAAAACTGAGGATAGGAGCATTTAAATGCTTCCACTAAATTTAATGCAGCTTAATTAGGGACCAGGTATATATTTTCCTTTGAAAATTTTTGGTCAAGCATGTCTAACCATAAAAGCAAATGGAATTTTAAGAGGTAGATTTTTCCCCCCATGATGCATTTTGTTAATAAATCTATTGTCAAGAAAATAAAAACAAGCACTGAGTGTGTTTTCTTAAAGTATAAGAGTCTAATGAAAAGAAAAATAAAAGATAGCTATGATACTTATTACAGTGTGACATTTTAACAGTCAAACTATCGGGTGTTTTGTGACCAGTGCATTTTGGACTCTCTCAGGATCAAAATACGAGTCTGCTGACTGTATTAAATCCTCCTCCACCCCCTCCACCAGTTGGTCCACAGCTTCCTGGTGGGTCATTGTCATCAAATCCATTTGGCCGAAATGAACAGGAGGCAGAGGCAGCTTGAAGGGCCCGGGCTCGAGCATTCAACTCTTGTTCCTAAAATTAAAAATAATTTTAATAAAGTCATAATCCTAAATACAATGGATGAATATATCACCTGTATAAATATTTTAAAGCTACCTTAATCCTTAATAAGCATCCTTCAAATCTTAGTAACTTTAAAAATACTGACTACACTAATTCTTTCCAAATCTTACTACAGTAAAGTACATAATCACAGATGGAGCAAACTTGATAAAGAAGAAAATCTTGGTGTAAGTTTACAGAATGACAGACCCAAAAGTCTGTTTGTTTCAGTATCAGACTATACAGAGGAGGAAACTGAAGCCCACAGTCCAAAAATGTCTTTATTTCAGTTCATCCCCAAGAACTTTCAAAATACAGTTAACACCCCTCAGTACGTAAGAATGAATTTTTTTTCTAATATACAGTATGCAGAATTAAAGATTATGACAACAGATTATCTACTCTAACAATTTTGGAAGTGGGTGATTACAATAAAAAGTACAAATAATGAAAGAAAGCTGGATGATTTTTAATACCCTTTTCCTTAAGAGTATTTCTTAGTAAGTAAAATATCTCAAAATACTGCTAAGGAAAATGGAGCCTATCTTCTTATAGTAACACTGAAAACTTTTCTCTACTTGACCATTAGCAATTTTATCAGGAATTATATTCACCTATGTGCCGGACACATATTAAGTGCTCAATAAATATTAATGATCTCAGGTTAGAACACTATTTGAAAGAAAAAAAAAGTGAATATGGCAAATTCATTTGGCAAGTTCTAAAACAAGGCTCTAAAAACTGGCACCAACTCCTTGGAACAAGATATAAACTATTCTGGCATGTGCCCATTTTTCTGGGAAAAGGTCTACACCTTTCAAATGAGGTCAATGTCACTCACCCAGGTCTAAAAGCCACTGTGGTGGCAAAACCCTTAACCTGTTAGGCATAATCATCCTCAAGAACTTTCAAAATACAATTAACATTAATAACAATAACTGTACTATATCCAAATTTAGCTTAAAGCCCAGTTATGTTGCTCCATCTGGCACAGTAGCATTATATGTTTTTTGTTTTAAACAACTTACCAATCTGAGATTGAAGATGAAACTTAGAATTGCACAACACTGAAAAGCCGAATGAAAATACATAACCCTTTTATAGGGACAATTAAACAATAATAATAAATGGTGCTCAAAAATTGTATAGTCAGGGGAAAATGGCAAGTCAGAAAAAGTCATTTAGAGCTAGGCTGCAATGTAAATAGATATTACAGTTTATAAGTGTTTTTGGCATTCCTATCACAGAAATTGTAGTTCCTCAACTTTTCAAAATCCACATCCCTCCATTGATAAATATTTCACTCAATCACTGCAATATAAATAATATACATATTTCCAAAAACCAAGATTGCACTGGGTCATATTTTCTGTATTTTATATTATAGAAAATTTCTACTTCAACCTAACTCTCTTACCCTTACCCCACCTCTTTAATCTTTCAAGAATCGTGATGCTTAACATCCAGTGCTTATTTGCAATCTATAATAGACAGGACATGGTTGAATACATTATATTCTCTGGATTATAAGCCTTCTGACTGGATGTGAGAATCTTGTTTCTAAATCAGTTCTAACAAATATTCTAGAGTTTCTAATTATTTTTCTGAAAAATGTATTGTTTTTGTCACTCTAGTACATTGCATACTCCTTTAAGAATGTATCATGTATCTTTAAGTATTTAATAATACAGTAAATTTCAAAACTTTTTGAGAATTCCTCCTAAAAATAGTACTATAGCGGTCCATTTTTTCTCTTATACTATCTGTATCATTTGGTTTTGGGAGCTTCAAATACAAAAGTTTCAGAAATTAATTTTAAGCTCATAAAATTACTTGGATTATCCAGCTAATAAACTTACAACTTCACATATAATTTACTGTTGGTCCTTTATATTAATAGCTACTTGGCAAACTTCAAAGAAAAGTATTTTGAGCAAGATCTTTTATTAATTTTAAAGTAATAAAATCACTAACTCCTTGCAAAAAGTGTACTTATAAATTCAGCTTATGTGAAATCTTTATTCCATGACTTTTCTTTACTGTTATTTTTTCTCCTTGGTTTTATTGCTCAGATCCTTAAGTAATACAAATATCCTGTCTTTATTTTTTCTAGCTTTTAGTGTCCTTTATTTTATCTACCTGAATGTCAAGATATCGATATAGCCCTTAAAATACTTACACAAAGGTCTAAAAGGAATAAATACCCAATTTAGCAGCTGTTTTCCCTGGTAGATGGGACTAAAGGGAAGAGGAGAGATACTACCATTTTATTAAACTCTGTATTTTTGCCTGGAGTGTTTTATAATAATCACATCTTTTATAATTAAAAACAGGTAAGGTCTTCTTTTTTGCATCTAACTTCAACTTTTCATAATTCATAACTTTAGTAAGATAACTTGGTTATATAGGTTGAACTCATTTCATATAAACCCAGACTCAAATTTCAGAATTACCACTGTAAATTCCTTGGAAAATACAGAAGATGAATTTCAAAGTTAGGGTGCTCATTAAACTACCTATCCATTGTTTAACTATTGTCCACAAATGATGAAGCTTATATTTCCAACTTACCTGTAAATATAGTTTATTGTCTTTTGTTATAGCATCCATAAGTTCTTTCTGTAGAGGTGGGTCTCCATTTACCCAGAGTCCACTGGTTGAATTATTACCACTCAAACCATTAGTGCTGCTCTGTTTTCTATACAAAAGCACATAAGCTGTGTCCTTTGGAAATCTACTCGTAATTTTTTGGACTGACTGAAATGAAGTAAATGTCACTCTGCTGTCATTAAATAAAAACCATTCTTTTGACATTTCCTTATTTTCTAAATCCTGTTCCATAACTGCACTAGGACTATCTCTTGCTAGTAAATGACTCTGGGAGGAAGCTAATGCCAGACTTTCAGACTGGTGGCACATCTGGTATGAGGACTCTGTACCTGTGATGTTTCTGGCATAGGAGTAGTAATGCCCACTTTCAGAGGATATACCAGAGTGAACGACAACAGAACTTAATAGATAGGGCACCAAAATGGGACAGCAAGCTTCTTCAGTCCCAGAAGGCTTTAATTTTTTAGCTAGGTTTTCACTAATATCAGTGAAGTCAACATCTATAGACCAACTTTCTGACAATGAAGAAAAAGTAGTAGTTCTTTTAACTGGCAACTCCAAAACCAGTGGCAGTGACACATTGTCTAAAATTTTTCTTCTCACGTGATACTTCTGATCATATGAAAATCTCAGGAGAGTAAGAATAAGGTATTCGGGTTCCTCCGTGATTTGCATAGTTTTCTCGGCATTCTGCAAAGAGGCACAGTTTTCACAATAATACTGGTTGTCTCCAGTAAGAATCTCTGGAGCCAAAAAATAATTTAGTAAGTCAGTTACTGAAGGTGTGGCTTCACCTCCTGGCTTCTGAGGTACATCTTTATTAGCAAAAATCTTATTAGATTCACTAGGGACAGAAGTATTTTCAGTACAGCAAAATTCATCAGGAGGGCGGCCTGCCATTCTTTCATTCATAACTGAATCATAGACAAAGGTAGCTGCTGCTGGATTATAAATTCCTGGTTCTTCTGAAGGACCAGGACAGGCTTGCAGTAGACCACCATCCGGTATACTGAGCGATGATGCTGGATCTTGGAAAGACAAGCTGTCCATGGAAGAGGAAGGACAGAAGGCGAGGGAGAGATCAGTAAAGGCTTCCACTTTTTGTGAGGTACTCCTGCAGTTCAAACAACATATGTGAGTTCGTAGTTTTCCTCCAAACATTTTTTCTATCAAAGTCTTCTCACCATCACTTGTGTAAGGGGTCTCTGTCAGTACAGCTGCCTTACTGGCTACTTCCTGAGAAGAAGTTTCAATGCATCCCAGACTTTCAGAAGGCTTGTGTGAGGACTGAACTTTCAAGATTTTTTCTTCTTCATGGAGCCTGCAGGAGAGTATATCATTACACAGCTACTTCACTTACATTTAAATGTCATTTCTATTACAAAATATTGGTGGTTTATAAAGACAGGCCAATTATTTTTTTTAGTCAAATATATAATGTTTAACTTAAAAAAGCAAGTTTCTCCTCTTCTAATCAAGAGGAATTCTGAACAGTTTGACAACATAGATTAGAAGAGAAGATACAGGCTATTTGGACACTGTATTTCATTACTTTTTTTATACTACTATTTTATAGCACTACGTTGCAGTTAATTGCATGTTCTCATTAACTGTCTTATTTCTTTGTCTGCCTGGAGTCTCATACAAAGCCTGGCACAAAGAAACCACTGTACATATCCTCAGCTGAATGGGAGGAAGGCTGTGTATGTCAAGCTCAACTTGCTTCACTAGTCTTTCACATAACAGAAAGACTAGTGAAGCAACATAATAGGCTTTATGAACTAAGTGCTAAGGAGGCAATAAAATGTACCAAAGCCACACAATTATGAATCCATCCAAAAGAGCAGCTTTTACATTTCTTTGGTCTCAGGATACCTTTGTAGTCTTAAAAATAATTGAGGAGCCCAAGAGCTTAAATTTATGTGGTTATATCTATCCAAAACTGAGATTAAAAGTAATAATCTATATTTAAAAATAACAAACCCATTATTTATTAAAGTAAATAACTGTTTTCCTGAAAAAGTTATATTTCATACAACAAAAAAACTTGGTGAGTAGAATGGCACTGTTATAGAGTTTGCATATATTTCAAGTATTTGGCTTAATAGAAGACAGTTAGATCCTCATGTCTGCTCTGTATTCAATCTAATGGTATATGTTGTTTTGGATGAAGTATATGAAGAAAATGTGGCCTCAACTACGTAAACACAGATATATAGAAAGTGTTTTGGGAACTCTTAGGAGTCCTCATACCACACTTTGAGAACATCTAGTCTAAAGTAAAAAAATAAAAAACACCACCACCAACAAAACCTCACATTAATCATAAAAGAACACTTAAAAATATAATGCAAAGACCTGAAACCCCGCCCCATCAGGAAAGCTGCCTGCGAAAATGCCTAAACCAAACAGATCACAAACGAAAGAAATGGAGGACAAAAAACGACTGGATATAGAGTTCAAAACCACACTTATAAGGTTTTTCAAGAGTTTCCTGGAAAAGGCCGATAAAATAAATGAGACTTATGAGGATATGAAAAGGGATCAACAAGAAATAAAGAATACATTGTCTGAAATAAAAAATATTATACAGAGTCCTAAAAACAGAATAGAAGATCGCAAGAATCAAATCAAAGATTTGGAACATAAAGAGCCAGAAGACACTCCTCTGCAGAAGCTAGAAGGCAAGAGAATCCAGAAAATTGAAGATGATGTAAGAAACCTCTGGGACAACTTCAAACGATCCAACATCAGAATTATGGGGTCCCAGAAGATGAGAGAGAGCAAGATATAGAAAATATACTGAAAGAAATAGTGACAGAAAACTTCCCCCACCTGGGGAAAGAATTGGACTTACAAGTCCAGGAAGCACACAGAACTCCAAATAAAAGGAATCCAAAGAGGACCACCCCAAGACAAATTATAATTAAGATTCCAAGAGCAAAAGACAAAGAGAGAATATTAAAAGCAGCAAGAGCTAAGCAGGTAGTTACCTATAAAGGAGCACCTATATGATTGTCAGCTGATTTCTCAACAGAAACCATGCAGGCCAGACGGGAATGGCAAGAAATATTCAAAGTGATGAATAGTAAGAACCTACAGCCAAAGATAATCTATCCAGCAAAGCTATCACTCAGAATCGAAGGTCAGATAAAGAGCGTCACTAATAAAAAAAGCTAAAGGAGTTCACCACCACCAAACCAGAATTATATGAATTGCTGAAGGGGGTTCTTTCAGAAGAGAAAGTAAATAAAGATAAAAATTATGAACAACAAATATGTAACTATCAACAAGTGAATCTAAAAACCAAGAAAATTAAAAAAAAAATCTGCGGAACAATATTAACTGTTGAATATAATAGAATCAGAGGTATGGAAGGGGAGTGAACTGATGATTCTTGGGGAAAAGGGGAGAGGGGGATGTGGGAAGAGACTGAACATAAACTGTGCACCTATGGATGAGGACAATGGGAGGTGGGAAAGGGCAGAGGGTGGGGGTGGGAAGGGGGAGGAAGGAACATTTGTAATAATATGAACAATAAAAATTAAAAAAAAAAAATTAAAAAAAATATATAATGCAAAAACACTTGAAATATATATTTTAAGGCTAAAAACAATATTGTGTAGAAATAATTCGTTATGAAAGAACACAATTCAAATCATAACTTTAAAAATACTTTTTACCTAGTCTTGAATGGGTGGCTCAGTTGGTGGAGGATTGTCCCCTTAACCAAAAAGTTTGGGGGTTTGATTCCTGGTCAGGGCAAATACCTGGGTTGTGAGTTTGAATCTTAGTCAGGCCATGTGTAGGAAGCAGTTGATCAATATTTCTGTCTCACATCATCACATCAATTTCTTTTTTTTCTCTCTTCCTCTCTCTAAATATATCCTCCAGAGATCATTAAATATATATATGTACTTTTTACCTGTCTAGCAGAAACCTGAGGTATTCAGAACAGTCTTGCTGTGATCTGGGGGTAAACCATGGAGGTCTGGAAGCTTCAAAGAATATCCGAGGTGCATATGCTTCTCTCTTTTGATATCAGTAGAGAAAATACAAGAAAATGATTCTCACACCATGAACTAAAATCTGAAATCTTACTATATGTTGAATAAAGATTACTTTAAAAAATTATATTGAGCTTACCCTTTACTCTAAGCTGTCAAACATGTGGACAAATAAACTAGTTGGAAATAGATTTAGATAACGATAACCATTAGTCGTAACTTCTCATTCTGTAGATGAGATTTAAGATCTAGAGCAGGGTTGGGGAACATCCAGCCCGAGGGTCATATAGGTCTGGTGAAATCATCTGGTCTGGCCCTGACAAGGCATTATGGGTGAGTTAATTGTTTGACCAAATTCAGCAGACTAATTTTTAAGCTGATAATTTTGTTTGGCCTGCAAATGATGTTATAAATATCCAAATGGCCCTTGGCAGAAAGAAGGTTCCCCACCCCTGATCTAGAGAAACTGTGTGACTTGCTCAAGGTCAGAAATTATATCAGGGATTAGACCAGGTCACATCTAACTCTTGGGTCCACAAAATTGTTTTAATTGTTTAATTTTGTGAAAATATATCAATTTAGTATCTATAAACTATTAAAATGCATTTTGAAAGATTTCTTTATAAGACTTTATTAAATAGAAAATAATTACAATAATGAGTCAGCATAATACTCATCTATAAAAATGGAAAGGAGAAATAAATAAAAAACTTAAGAGTATATCCTGATTTTAGGCAGTATCTTTTTAACATTTCTAAGTAGACTAGTTATGCAGGGTGAGATATATATTTTTTCATCAATTAAAAAGGGCTTACCAAGTATGGTATAATGTGAAATTTAAAGAATATTACCATAATAACATGAATATTAACATATACACACTACTCAAACTTACACTCACCTGTGTATGAGCCAAAAAGGCAAAAAGATGCTGTAATTTTTTCATTAATGAATTGCACCCATTTAGATTTAAAGATAATACTTGTCTCCTGAAACTGAAAGAGAATAAAATATAATGATTTTCATATAAATGTATACATACATATGCATTTTTTTAAAAGCTAAAAGGAAGTTAGTTCAGGAACTTATCTTCAAAGTAAAACTTCACTCACCAATGGCCTCTTATTTAGCAAAGTTACTAATGACAATGTAGTGAAGAAGGAAGGGAAGAATGATGGTACCTAAGCAGTTACTGTGTGGCCTGGTAAATGACCTATATGTACTGTCACATTCCATTCCTATTTTCTGGATCACCAAGTAGAAATAGATTAAACTATTAATTAATACCCTAAGTAAGCAACTTTTAAATTCTTTCAAATCTGCATGAAATAAGTAATATCCTCTCATTAAAAGATCCTATAAAGTTAGAGTGATTTAAAAATGGTACTATAGGAACAATTGGGGGGGGAAATGGAGTTAGATAAGATTTTACATCATTACAAGTCCACTTGGGATATGGAGTTAAATGTGAAATATAAAACTACTGAAATATTTAACGAAAAAAGAGAGAAAAAGGCTTCCTAAAATTCAGGCACTATAACTGAAAAATAGCAGAAGTAACTATATAAAATAATAAATTGCAAGTAAAACACTGCAAATTAGAATTGCACTGAGTAGAAAAATATAACAAAGAATTATCATCAGATTATATGGAAATCAATATGAAAGTTTAAATACTAAAGCCTTTCTGGAGACATGTGGCATGTCCTATTCAAAGAATACCCTCTCACAAGCATATGGGCTGAGAGATTCATTATGAGCAAAACAAGCTATTAATAGTCACCAACAGGAGTAAGGTTTAGTGAATTATGGCAGATACTTTACTGAAAACAACACAGTTCTGTCACTGTGCTACCATGGGGATACTACAAACTCAAACCTTATTTTTTTTATTGTTGACACTATTATAGATGTCCCCCATTTCCCTCCCCCCCCTTTCCTTATCCACATACATTTTTTTTATACTAAAGTCTCTTAACTATAAAAAAGGTCTAGAACACTGCACATAAAACTTAAATTATCTTTGGGAATGGGAATGCCTGATTTTTAAAAAAATTAAAATTGTAAAATTTTTATGTACTTTTACATTCAATTTTTTAAAAGCACCATAAAGATTTCACATATTACCAAAGACATAAAATACGCTGTTTGCCTATTCTGAGATGGAATTATTATTGACCACTGTCCAAAAGATGAGCTGTTTGAACTGCTATTGCCAGTTATAACTGAATTAGGTTACTCTGCTTTCTCTATCATCTGTAAAGTAAGATGGCTGGATGAGATGACCTCTGGTGGTGAGATATGGTTTCTTTCAGGTTTATGCCTAGGGTTACTTGTGTCTAAGAAAACCTGAAAACAAAAGAAAACACTAAGCCAAACAAAAAACACCTTAGTTTTTGAGTGTACACATGTACTTAGGAGTCAGAAAATCAAATAAAGCTAACTCTTCATTTTTTAGTTTATGATTCCTCTAGGCAGGCATAAAAAGACTTGGAACTCAACTTCTATATATCTTTAGTCAAATTCCATGAATCTCTATTGGTGCTGAAGAGAAAAATTCAACCATGTTTTTGCCTTTAGGGAAATTTTTTTTTTTTTAAAGATAATAAATGTATATTTTTTATTCAATGGAAAGCAAATGTTCTGTGATAATTTCTTTTCAAATGAATGAATATTATTATGCAAATTTAGCATATCTGGCTGCCCTGAATTTAGCACTCCATAATAACTTTACTCTTTGTATCTCATTGAGCACATCAAAAACCTACATGTTTTATATTGGCAAAAAATATATAATAGTAGCCTTTAGGAAAAATTTATCATTAGTTTGTAACTTTACAGATAGCATTCTCATAGCTAACAACTTCTGGTTTCCTATTTGCTTAGCTGTAAAAGCAATGAATTTAAAAGTAAATCTGTAAGAGGGCAAAGGAACAAGTCTGTTTACACATTCAGTATTAATCAAGTTGAGGTGGGAAGCAGAGCTTATATGTCTTTAGCAGCAACTAATGAGTTATTGATCTGATAAACAGCAAAATATCTACAGACAGAAAAAAATAAATAAGACCCCCTCGAAAGATATACTGATTTAAAAAAATTCACTACTAGCCTAGCCGGTTTGGCTCAGTGGATAGAGCCTAAGGACCAAAGGGTCCTGGGTTCGATTCTGGTCAAAGGACGTACCTCGGTTGCAGGCTCCTTCGAGGCCCAGGGCCCTGGTCAGGGCTCTTGCAGGAGGCAACCAATCAATGTGTTTCTCTCACGTCAATATTTCTTTCTGTCTTTCTCTCTCTCTTCCACTCTCTCTAAAAATCAATAGAAAAATATCCTCAGGTCAGGATTAAAAAAATAAAATAAAAGTTCATAACCTTATGGGATAATAACAAATTAGTAATTGAGGACACAAACTGTTAGGCATAAACTCAACCAATCACTCTGTTACAATAATAACTATCAAGTCGGAGTAATTCACAAGATTCTAAATGTAATATATAATATAAAGTAGAATTTACTTAAGTTAATATTTTAATAGTACCTTTTCATTTCTGAATAAGGCAATTGTATGAAAATATTAATATTTCTGCCATTTATAAGAAATAATATGAAGACAATCTTACCATTTTGCATTTCATCATCATGCATCAATTTCTACAGTTAAAATGAAAATAAAAAGCTTCAAATTTAAACTTAATTTAAACTTACTCTGTGGCCATAAACAATGCTTGTATAACACTGTTCATGTAACATGTATTTCCTAGATTAATAAGACCAGTTTTCCCAGTTTCAGATTTTCCAGAAAGTCTAGACAAGCAAGATGCCAAAGCGTCAGATTGAGAAGTCCAGGCACTTTGATTGAGAATCAATTTAATCTTCTCCTCACTGGGCTTAGGTAAGTCCTATAGATCATAAAGAAGAAAAAAAATTTAAAAATATACACTATTCTTGTTATTAAATTAACACCATAAATGCTCTTCCACTAATATTTAACCTTTTTCCCCCTCCCTCTTAGTTTTGATAGTACTTGACCAATTGTCAAAAACACACACAACAGGAATTCAAGTCACATTTGAACTATTCATGTTTCATATTTATCAGAAAAATGTTTTAAAAATAAAACAGATCAGAGAGTATACTGTAGCACTATTCAAAGGCTATAGAATAAGACCTAAATTATCACACAATTCAATAACTGAAACCACTTTTTTTTATATTATGTAGTAAAAAAAATATTTCCTTTTCATTCACTACCAATACCCAGTATTAATCTTATAAAGTCTCAAAGTAATTATGATGAAAAATGTTTAACCATATTGAAAATTATTATAAAATACAGATTATTCTTACTTGCTTTATGATTTATGAGATAATATTTAAGAGTAAGTGATTTCAAACATGAGTAGAGCACTGGAGAATAAGAACACTTGGTAAAATTATTAAGTCTTTTTGAACTATTATCACCTGGCACTTATACCTTAGATAATAAATAATATCTGAAGGAATTTTAATCTCCTGATTTTTTGGAGCTATTATAAAGTGCTTCCTGAGTTCAGAGTAAGACCCTTGTTTCTTCTGAGCATATTTCAGTCAATAGAATTTTCAAGACATAAAGCATAACTAGCTTTCATCTATACACATAGTGACATCATAGAGAGAGATTAACACTATCAAATCCATGACAGCTCTTATACATAAAGACATTTACTTCTGCAGTGTCAAATGTCAAACCAATGGTATGCATTAATAGTGCTATATTCTGGGTTCAACCAATATCATTTTGATTTAATTAAATAGTAAAATGTTTATTTATTCATTTCAGATACAGAAGATAATGAGACCTTATATTGTATTTCAGATCTCAAAAAGAATTATCAGTTGAACTGATTTATAATAATTTATAATTAAATCTAACTGAGGAAAGTTCTCCAATTCTTTTGCTACTACCTAATTATGCAGTAAGTTTACTAAAAGTATGCTTAGTGTGACCCATTCTTCAAAACAGAGAATTAGTGGTTTTTATATCAAACATTTATACAAATTAAAAAAACAAAGCAAGTTCACAAATAGTTCAAGTAAAGTTTCTATGAAATATGGACATCCATGAACAGTCCACAGCTAAAATGGAATAAAAAAAAACACAGCAAAAAAACAAAGTTAAGTTTTCTTTAATGAACCCTGATTTTTAACAAAATTTTTCAAATAAAAAGCATATTACCATAAGGAAATAAAATGAATAGCTGGTTATCATCAAACATTATCTATCACATCACGGGCTGCAGATCCACAAATACTGTTGCAACTATTATCATACCTTTATTGCTTCCAAAATGGGTTCGTAGAGATCTGGAAATCCAGAGTAATGATACATCATACAGTGTATTAATTCTGTTAACTGTACTAAGAAGGCTGTACTGGAAGGCAGACCATCATTTCTGAGGGAGTGAACCAAATTAACCACATGAGGAACAATCTGAAGAGAAAGGAAGACAAATATTCCTCAATCAATACAAATTGGCAACAAATTCTCTGGCTTACAAATAGAATTCAATTGTTACACAATAAGCAAATAACTTTCCATATGTTCAGCTACAGACTTTTTCTAAAACAAAATTGAGAAGTAAAAAATTTCTGGAATATCAAGGTAACTTTAATTTTCAAAGTCACATGACTTTAATTCCATATAATACACCTATTTGTCATCCTTATTCTCCATCCAAAATGCAAACTAAAGTCCTAGTCACTGCAGTCTAAAAATGCCTTCAATTGAAAAATATTAGGAACAAACTTAATAGATAAACCTAGGCCAGTGGATAGAGCGTAGGCCTGCGGACTGAAAGGTCCTGGGTTCGAGTTCGGTCAAGGGCATGTATCTTGATTGTGGGCACATCCCCAGTGGGGGATGTGCAAGAGGCAACTGATCGATGATTCTCTCTCATTGATGTTTCTAACTGTCTATCCCTCTCTCTTCCTCTCTGTAAAAAATCAATAAAATATATTTTTTTAAAAAATAAAAAAGATAAACCTCGAATTAGCATAAGAGCTCCATCTAGTGTGAATTTTAGAACTCTTACTTGGAAGAATTATACATGCTTTGTATATTAAAGTTTACTTCAAGAAAAGTCTTCAAAATACCTTTTGCATGTATCTAAAATTACAGCTCAGGTTACAGGATTACCTTTCATTTAGATAAGCATAGGGATGATGTCAGATGTTAGCATGGTGATGCTTACAAAATGACACCCATTCCTCCTCTTAAAATAAAGGGAATCCGAAACTATTATTTGAAAAGACTGGGGTTAAAAATAAAAGGAAAATCTAAAATGCTCATTGCTTATAAACATTTAGAAAACTTTAGTGTTGTAAACACAATAATGTTTTTTCATTATAAATTAGACTAAAAGTTAATACAGAAATAATCATATTTTAAGAGGTTATTAATAAACTATTTTGCAGAAATGGCTCAATCCATTGGTACAGTGCTATACTTGTTCCAACTAAATAATTATAATCTGATATTAGGTATTTATACTTCATATGTAAAAGTATCTTAAGTTTTATGTGTAAAACATTTTTCGGGTTGCTAACTAGTAATAAAAGTGAAGTTATAGCTTTAAGGTCTTATCATCAAATAGCATTAATAACAATTAATTGAGTCCGAGACCCTTCAGTCTGCAGGCCAATGCTCTATCCACTGAGCCAAACCAGCTAGGGTGCTGGTTGATTCTTGCATATGCCTTGCCTGTGTATTGAACCCGTACCTTGGTATATCAGGACAATGATTTAACTAATGATATATGTGACCAGGTCATATTTTTACTCCACTAAATTTTTTTCCCCATTTATAAAAAGCACATAAAGACCAACTTGGTTCATATTAGCAAACATAATATTAATCTTGGTTTGCTCTAAAATACTTTAAACATATAATGAATAATGATGTTGGTGATTCCAGATTATTGCTCATACTTAACAACTCCTAACCTGAGTCCTTTGCTGAGATATTTAGAGTTATAGGTGATTTAACTATCACATGACCCATTACTAAATGCCCAAGCTAATTTTAGTTGAGTAGGCCAGCTATCCCAACTACACCGGCAGTAAATAGGTCTTGGTTTTTAAGTTTTACTAAGTCAGATCACAATTTAATTTCAGCTCTAACTAATCTATATACATAAAAGGCTAAGCGACCATCGCAACAGAAACAAACAAACAAACAAATGACCAAATAGGCTGTGTGGGGCAGCCAGGCTGATAGGGGGTTAGTGAAGGGCAACCAAATGACTGAGCAGCAGGCTGCATGGGGCTTCCATGCCCAGTGGGGGGTGGGGGTGGGGCACTGAGGGGTGATCAGGTTGGCGGGGGGTGAGGGGGTAGTTGGGGGTGACCACACCGGCAGGGGGTGCAGTAAGGGGTGACCAGGTCGGTGGGGTGACCAGTTGAAAGTGACCAGGCTGGCAGGGGGAGGCAGTTGGGGGCAACTATGCCTGCGGGGGGGGGGGGGGGGAATTGGGGGTGACCAGGCCGGCAGGGGTCAGTTAGGTATGATCAGGAAAGCAGGCAGTGGAGCAATTAGGAGCCAGTCCCCCTGGATTGTGAGAGGGATGTCCAATTGCTGGTTTAGTCCCAGATTGGAGAGGGTGCAGGCTGGACTGAAGGGACCCCCGACTCACCCTGTGCACAAATTTTGTGTACTGGGCCTCTAGTCCTTAAATAAATGATTTCATATTTACTTACTTCAATAAGGCAAATAATTCAAAGGCAATCATTTTTTTATCTCAACTACTTTTTCAGAGAGATTAAGGAATGTGCCTATGCTCCATGAGAATAGTAATAAACCTTAGAATAGATGATTGTTATGTTAGAGATTCTCCTTAGAAATTTTAAAAAATATCCCCCCTCCCCCCCCAAATGGCATACACATGATTATACCTAAAGCCAGGGACAAATAATTGATTTTTTTTTTTCCCTTGGGAGACTTTGCTAGCATATTTACTATATTAGCTCAAGTTTGAGTTAACAAACTGATATAAGATTATTGATTTAATGGTCAAGCCCAACAATTAGGGCAATTAACTCCTGAAATAACTCATCCTAAGTGATTTCATACATTGCTGTTTTGTGGTGACAAATGGAAACATTTGGGAGAAATACTAAACATTTTGAAAATAAGATTCTTTGGAGGGAAATCCCACAATCTCAGATTTCTAAAAAAAATCATAAAGCTATAAGTAAATTGTTTTAAGATTAATGTACAATCTTTTCACTATATACAAATGTGACTCAATATTAAACTAAAATTTTAAGACAATGTAGAAACCTTGTTATAACTTACCAAATGGAATGCCTCTGGAGAATGCTGAAAACTAAGCAGCATGTGAGAAAGAACTGCAAGAGCACCAGGCCTCACAAGAGGAAACCGAAGTCGATTAAAAACCTTCAAAAAAAGACAAGACACCAATCTACAGAGTTTGTAAGAAAGTCCTTAACCCAATCAGTGGTTATTTTCCTAGGGCCGAAAATTATTTATGTGAATATCCCCCTTTCTGGAAGGTTCTATCATACCATATATTGACTTATTAAACCTTGTGAGAGGGAGAAAGTTGGAAAGTAACATGACAGAAATCAAGGGAATATAATGGCCTAAGCAACTCTTAAAACTTCCTGATCAAATGAAAATCTGTCAAACCAAGTTTTTAGATGGTAACTCCCTGGTCCATTATCCAATTAATTCGACAAATATTTATTGTCTCTAGAGGGTGCATAGGAACAATAAAAAATAACACGGAGATAAGTGATATGAAAACAGGGTATGATAAATAGGAAATGCTGAGTGGCAAAGGGGTCTGGTAATTTATATAGGGTATTTTTATATAGGGTATTTTTTAAAATGCCTCATGAAAAGCACCGGTTTCTTCCATATTCCATAAGAATGGAATACGCTAATTGACTGCCCCACCCTCAAAGATGGCGGTACACAGCCACAAGATGGTGTTGCCCAGTCCCCTCAGCCCTGCCAGAGCAGCACCACGCACCTGCCTCTGGAGTACCCCTAGTTCCTTGAGACCCCTGCTGCCCACGGCGCAGACAAGACTTGGCTGGTGGCTGCCCAGCAGCCTAGGGTCACCCGAGGCTCTGGTAACCAGGGCCGGCTGAGGCTTGTGCTGCCAGCAGTGGCAGCATCAGAGGTGTGATGGGGCATTGCCTTCCCCTGATGGCTGGGTCGCCTTTTGCCCTGAGGGCTCCCAGACTATGAGAAGACAGGCCGGGCTAAGGACCACCCACTCCAGTGCATGAATTTTCATGCACCGGGCCTCTAGCAACCTTAATAAAAGCTTGATTAGTTCGATTTAAGGAAAAATGGAAGAAACATGTTTACATATTAAATATCTGAAACGGCAAATTACTTATTACCTACACTTAAATAACATTTTAATTTTTTATAGCCTATTCAAAATTATTATCCGAAACAAAACCAAACAAGAACATATTCAAAATTAGATGCTTTAAAGGGGACAACCCAAATAGAAAGATTGATTATATAAGTTCATATATTCTAATCCTATATACTAATATGCTAAGTGTTTGGTTGTCCATTCAATCAATCAAAGTATAATATGCTAATGATATGCTAAGGATGCTCAACCGCTCATTATGATGTCCACTGACCACCAGGGGGCAGATGCTTCAGAATGTTAGCTTGCTGCTGGGGTCTGGCAGATTGGGACTAAGCAAGCCAGGCCAGTCATGCCCTCAAGCCTCCTGCAGTCTCTCCCTGGCTGGCCAACCTCCTGCATCCCTCCCTGGAAGGCTGGCCGTGATATACCCCAATAGGCACTAGGTGACCCAGCCCCAATTGTACACTAGTGGGGTCCCTTAGCCTGGCCTATGCCCTCTCGCAATCCGGGATCCCTTGTGGAGTATTGGAGAGCCAATTTTAACCTGATCTCACAAGCCAGGCCGAGGGACCCCACTGGTGCACAAATTCATGCACTGGGCCTCTAGTAGACATATACTCCCACTTACCAGTTTTATTTTCAGTAAAGTAACATCTATCAAAATAGTAAACTTTTGGACTGCTGCCAGTCCTTTCAAGAGTGCAATCACCCATGTATCCACATGCTGAGCCAATGGCCAGGACAGCCAATCAATCATCCTGAAAATTAAAGAAAAAGAAATTATTAATATTGACAATATTTTTAACATTATTTAGAAATAATAGGTTACAGTAGATAATTACTTTCTTTGTGACTCACTATTTACTGAGCTTGCTTGTAAAAAGCACTAATTAAGATGTAGAAACGAGTATAATGGGTGCTTGTACTCAAGGAGTTTCCAATCACATAAGCTGAGATTCTTATATAACACATTTTCATAAAAAGAATTTCTGATAAACTATCATTTTACCTTAAGTTTTAAATTTATGCTACATATTGATATTAAGAATTTATTAGGCAAATTTACTCTAAGAAGAACAGTTCAAATATACCTATCTGAACTAAGACATACAAATGTAAAACAAAATTTTTTCTCTCTGGAAATATGAAATACACTGTTAAAAAATACACCTAGACTTTGAATTGTGATACATGTCTCTTCATCCTTGTTAGAATTCTACTAAACAAAGTCAACAAAAGGAAACCAGATAGATGAAAGCGTACTGAATGTGCAAACATCCTAAGTGGCCTCATTTTGCATTAGTGTTTTCCTTCTTGAATATCAGCTCAGTTAATTGGAAATAAAAACAAAATAATATAGGGTTTGATGGAGATTGTCCCTAATGTAGACATCAATCACAATGAAGACTTGTACAACTCTTGGAAAGCAATTGGGCCAAATATTCATATTATTTGATCCAGCAATCCAATTTGGGGGATTATATAATAAGAAAGTAGTAGTGAAACAAAAAACAAACAGATTTTAGTCAGAGTGATCTGGTTTAAAAATCCAATTCACCATTTATTGCTGGGGACCTTAAATACTTAGGTAAATTATTTAACCTCTTTGTGTCTGTTTCCTTATCTGTAGAATATATATAGACATGCTTATTTTATAGAGCTTATGTGAAGAGTAAATGAGTTAAAATATATCACTGGAAATATTCCTTGTGATGCCTCTCTTCCACCAAATATTTTTAAAGGACTGACTTCTAAATTGAAGTGGCTATTTTTATAACAGCTAAGTTATAACTGTCTACATTAACACTCGGGTATTATCTTTATTAAGGTTTCTGCTCTTAAGATTTATTTTCCATTGGTCAGGGTGAATGCAACCCAGGTATGTGCCCTTGACCGAGAATCGAAATGGAGACCTTTTGATGTATCTAACCAGAAACCAACTGAAACACACCAGTCAGGGCTGAGGCTGCTCGTAATGTTTAATGGAACATTTGCATTTCTTTGCATTATAGAAAATGACAGTAATATGTAAGTACTAACATGGGGGGGGGGAAATATAGAGTATAGGGAAGTATAAAGTGGGAGTATGGTAAGAATAAACACTGCTATCCTTTTCAATTATATTTGTAATATTAGAATAATTACTCCAGGTATGGGTTAAATAGCATCATGTAGCTAAATTAGAAATGTAATATAAAAACTGCATCAAACCTCCCATAGAAACCAGTAGGTAAAAATTAATTTCCAAATAAAATAAAATCATAAGATGGATATTATGGTTGTTTTGAAAAGATTGAAAAATTAAGACCAGGAGTGCTGAACGGAAAGAAGTGGAGTTTGCACTTGACTTAGTAAGTGGTGAAAGTCACTGCAGTTTGATCAGAAGGGTAAAATGAGTAGGTCAGGCTGACTTAGAGAAGAGAGATAAAGTCACTGCTGGCAAAAAAGACCAACCAGAAGACTGCTGCAACGTTACGGCATGAAATGAAAATGTAAGCTATTGTTACTTAGGCAATGAAGGTGAGGGACCAACCAATTGATTTCTGATTTTACTTTCACTTGTGAAATCTGTATTTCTCTGTATCTTCCTATTTTACTTAGAAGATAACATAATTTATGATACATTCATTTCAAAAAGAAAGAAATTTTAGTGCTGTTGCAGTCACACTGGCACGAGTGTTGCTGCTCAATAGAACACAGAAGGAGTGTCTTTGTGGACATGGAGGAGATAAAAAAAATATTTCTTAAAAGTAAATGAACAATGATAACTTTACATAAAGACTTAGAACTCAACCGCATATAAATGAGAATTGATAAAGTGATAATAAAGGGAAAAGTCAACAAAAAGAAGTAATATTAAGAAGATCCTAACAGTATGGTATCATAGGACTAGCTATTGAATAATAAGAAAATAAAATAAGAAAAAAAAAAAACCCACCACATTTTAAACAGACAAATGCTAATAGTGTATTACTCAGAAATCCTGATTGAAAGAGAAAGTAAAAGTAAATATTTAGCTAGAAGAAAAAAATAAGATCCCAGAGGGAAGAAACAGGTCACAAGAAACAATGAGCAAAGAAAGTAGTAAAATACAGTAATAATCCAAAAAACTCCTCCTTGTACAACATATGTAAATGTATGTATATTTTTGAAAATTAAAAGGCTGAAATAAAAATGGATTTGTCAATTACTGGGATGCCGGTCAAGCCTATAGTAAGGTAAACAATTAATTTGGAGACTATATATTTGATTCCATGATTCAGTTTTAAACATTTCTCTCTAAGTTTTTCATTATTGACAAAAATGTAACAAAGTATTTCCTCCTCCCAAATCTACAGTTACCATCTATAGTGTCATGAAGAAGTACCTGCAAAAAGCTTGGGTCATACTTGCATCTTTGACATTTGGATCCGTAGTAAGGCTCTTGATGAGAACTGTAATCATCTGAAGAGGAATATGCTGCACAAGGCTTGCCAATGCTACAGAAGGTTCAAATGATGCATCTATTTTTTTTTAATTAAAAAGAAAAAGGGATATGGCAAGAAGGTTCAAGTGAAGTATTGAGAGAGAACAATTAACTAAAAAAAAAAAAAGTAATTGCAGCAAAGATGTTAATCGGAAAACAGTTGTCAAGCTCCACCTCATGGGTACTAGTAACATAAAAGGAATGTTACATTACAGAAATTAGAGATTAAGAATTACAATGATTGTTCATTCTACAGACAGAACTACTGCAATATAAAAACTATTGCCATATTGGGTCCATGAATTACTTTATTTTCTTGCATTTTTTAATATTGTCTTTGTCGAGCTAAAATATTCATTTAAAAAGCAGAAATGTAAGATTTAATTCCCAGGTTAGATTGTCCAAAGTAACTTATAGCTATTAATTACAGTAGTCTGTACAGTGTTCTAAGGAAAATATTTAAAAATCTCTTAAAGCTCTAGCTGGTTTGGCTTAGTGAATAGAGCTCTGGCCTGTGGACTGAAGGGTCCCGGGTTCGATTCCAGTCAAGGGCACTTGCCCAGGTTGTGGGCTCAATCCCCCATAGGGATCATTGATGTTTTCATCTCTCTCCCTATCCCTTTCTCTCTGAAATCAATAAAAATAAATTTAAAAAATATATATGTTAAGTGGAAATTTGGGGAGAGGGAACTTTACTTAAACGATATAAAAATCCAAGGTAAGCATCTTTATTGCTATAGTTGAAAAAGTTCTGGGGAAATATAACTCTAGCAACACAGGCAATACAAAAATTAAAAAAACAACAAAACAATTCAGATCCTGCAAATACAAAGTTGGTAATTCTTTTGTAAATTTATTTAATTCATCAGAATGCATGGAGCTTGTTAAAACTGCTCTTCTGGTTCTCAAGATAAAGGAGGACACCTCTGTCACAAGTTCAGTTTCCAACAATAGCCAGGGAGAACGGTTGAACCAAGTAGAGAGGAACTGAACATGATTTTGGATCTACAGTCCAAGAATCTACAGAACTAGAAGCTCCAAGTTCAAGTAGGATTCCTGGATGACAAAGCAGTTTCTTACTAAGTGTCACTTTGACCCCTCCCTGCTTCTAAGGATACAGTTCATGGGCTATCCTCCAAGTGAAAAAACACCCATTAGGTCCTCAGATTCTTTCCCTTCCCTCAAGCTCCTCAGGAACACTATTGTAGACAGAAAACATCAATACTCAAAAAACTACAGTTAACTGGGATAAGCCAGTAATAAAATTGCATGAATTTAAAAAAATGGGAAAATTAAAAAAAAACACACAGGGGAAATCTCTAATTTCCGCCCCTCCGCGCCGCCCCAAAATTAAAAACAAAACAAAAACCGAGGCTGGTGAGGCTCAGTGATTGAATGAAGACCTAAGAACCAAGAGGTCAAGGTTTGATTCCCAGTCAGGGCAGATGCCAAGGTTGCAGGTTCCACCCCCAGTAGGGGGAATGCAAGAGTTAGCCAATCAATGATTCTCTTATCATTCATTGAAGTTTCTCTCTACCCTTTTCCCTTCCTCTCTAAAATCATAAAAAAAAAAAGGGGGGGGGGAGGGAATCTCACGATAATAAAATAATAGGGTTACAGTGCAATAATAACATGATAAACACTTTTAGGCTACTATTAGTCACTAATGAACAGAAGCTTTATTTAGCAGCTGTCATCCCCAAAGCATTTCACAACTAGAGCAGAGGCTGGGTAATTAAGCAACTTGTTTAGTGCCAATGGTCTTAGACCTCGAAGTTCTCCACGTTTAAGATAAAAACACGGCCTGCTCTTTAAAGAAACGACATCCTGAATAGGACAGTGGATGGGAATAACATTTTGAACGAGGCACTAAGATTTGATCTCCATTAACAATATGTTCAGGGCAGGGAAGCAAACATGGTGTGTGTATGTGGGCGAGATAGACCGAGCTTCCGAGAGAGATTTTCTTGGGATACAGTGACCCTTACCCGTGGAAGAGATGCTTGCAAAAATTTCCTGCAGGGAAGGCAGCAAGGTGGAGGGTTCGGCCTTCCAAATGTTCTGCAGCAAGTTGCTCACTTTGGTCACCTGGGCGACATATTCCCGCAGCTCTTTCTCCTGGGTGGACTGGCACTGGAAGTGGCCTATCGTTCGAACCAGCTGCTGACAGAAGGTGATGGACAACTTCCCCTTGGGGATGCACTGCACGAAGTCGCTCAGGAGGTCGCTGAGCCGGGCACACAGCGGCGGCTCGGGCCGCTCACACACCAGCCGCAGCACCTCCACCTGCAGCAGGCCGAAGAGGTCCAGCACCGAGGGGCAGCTCATGATGAGCTTCAGGCCGTTGTGGATGTAGTCCAGGATGGCCACATCTTTCCTGTCCAGCGAATGGTAGCCCTGCTGGAGAAGGCCCAACACGAGCGTCTTGTTGAAGAAGGACTCGAACTCGGGCCGGTGGTACCGTGCGTAGGCCTCCAGCACCTGGTGCCCCACCTGCCGCTGAAAGGGGTCCTGGCCCTCCAAGATGAGCCGGGTGGTCAGGTCAAACATGGCCTGGCACTGCGCCTCATCCTGCCAGTGCTCGGCCGACTCCACCACCTTCCGCACGATCACCCGCTTCACCGGCAGCGGGTAGGACGAGCTCACCAGGCCCTCCAGGATCTTGTCCATGGTCGTCACGTCGCCAGGCCGAGCGGCAGGGAGCGGGCGGAGTCGACCCCGAGGTGGGGCGGGAGGGCCCCGGGGCGGAGGTACACTGGGGGCGCAGCAGCAGCAGCAGCAGCGGGATCGGCCACCGCCACCGCCGCCTCAGCAGCCACATTTATCGGGCAGGGGGGCCCATGCAAGAGCGGGCGGGAGGAGTTGGCAAGCGTGGGGCGCGGGAGAGCCAGCCCCGCCCGCGGCGGGCCGAGGGAGCCGGAGGCCCGCACGCCGCCGCCGCCGCCGCCGCCCCGGGTCCGCGGTCCTTCTCAGCATCAGCTCGGAGGCGCCAGCGGAGGGCCCCCGGCAGCGGCGGGCTCTTCGGACGCGGGGTTGTGAGCCGGCAGGTGAAGGAAGCGCGCCTCCGAGGCGCGGGACAGGGGTGGGCGTTCGGGCTTCAGCAGGTGTTGAGACGAGACGGGCCCTGGGCTGAGCCAGGTGGAGCCGCTGTCACCGAGGGTGCCGCCTGATCAGCCGGGAAGGGAAGGCAGACACCCTTGACCCGGATTCAGAAGGTCCCCAAATAGGAAGTGACGGAGTCCATATCTGGGTCAAGGCCAGCCCCTCGGCGCCGCCCCAAACCTTCCCTTCCCCTCCAGGGCCCCTCCTGCGCCCCACTAGCCCTCCCCCTCCCCGCTGCGCCCGCCCCCGCCGCCCGGCCCCGCCCCTTCGCTGCTGCGCACGCGCGGCCGCCTCCGGTGGAGTCGCAGGGCGACGCTCGCGTCACTGGGGATCGAGTGTCAAGTCACAGGCGCCTTTCCGGAAGGAGGGCCCGCCTTTCCGGAAGGAGGGCCCGCCTTTCCGGAAGGAGGGCCCGAAACGTAGGTGGCTGCGGCGGCAGCGTCCTTGGCTTTGGGATTCCCACCTTCGGATCTTTGTCGGTTCTTCCCGGGTCAGGTTACTTGTTGAAGCCCGAGAAATTGCTGTTTATGTAAAATGTTGTGAAGGACAAAGTTTTGGAAACGCAAGCACTTGAGGAGAAAGAAGGAAAAAAAAATAACTCAAATGGAGGAGACATCGCTTAGGGGCTTGGCTCATCCATCAAGAAACGAGCTAGAGTTCCTAAAAATGCGAGTGCCTTTCTTCTCCTTTGTGGTTAATAAAAGTAAAAACTGCCCCCGTGGCAGAGGTTTAGCGACATTCAGTTTCAGGAGTTTGTTTTTTCAAGCCTCTAGCAGATATTTTTTTAAGAGAGCTTTTGTGGCCTATGGAAAACTTACAAGCTGTCTAAAAAGTGGAAGGAGAGTTACTGGAAAATGACAGGTGAGAAAATGAAAGATGGGTATATGTAGGGCATCCCCAAAAATGTATGCACACATTTTGAATTACTATAAGGACAGTGTTTAATAAAGTACATTTCGTTTTCAAAATTGAGCTATCAGCTTTTAAAGTGTATACATTTTGGAGGGACACCCTGTATATACCTGGGTCATAGTAAAGAGAACTATGAAAATTAGTTGAAAGCTTCACATTATTTAATATATGTATATGCTGCCATTGAAGATAGTTCATAACAAGGAAGAACAGATACAGTCATCATGCTTGTACTCAAAGTCCAAAGATTCACAGTAAGACTTTTGGCTTTAATCAAAGGCCTTTACATTGGAAAACATTCCCTAATTATAACCCTGTACAGAGTTGGCCTGTAATAGTTGTGAACTCAGACATTAATGGCCTGTAATATGGACACAAGATTACATAAATGGTTTGTTTTAAATGCCCAATAGAAAAATGAACAAAATTGTAAGTTGTTCACTTTGCTAAATACCGTTTTGAGTGTGTGTGTGTGTGGTTTTTTTTTTTTTTTGGTATTTTTTTTTTTTTTTACAAAGTGGTTACACCAATATATTTAACACATCAAGTAGGATAATCTTAAAAAGAATAGTTTAAAGAGATAGGAGCTGGGCAGAGGAAATGAGAATAAATTTGTGGGAAGAAATTGAAGATAAAAGATGAAAAAAAAATTGATGGATGCAAGAGCAAGGAGAAGCTAAGAAACTTTTTCTTTTCAAATAGATGGAATGTAAAACTGCAGTGAAAAGTCTGATTTTATTGGGAATGGTGCCACACTAAAAGAAAAAAGTAGAGTGGTTGAGCCTTGACCTATGAAATGGGAGGTCATGGTTGGATTCTGCCAGGGCACATGCTTTGGTTGCAGGCTTGATCCCCAGTAGGGGGCATGAAGGAGGTAGCTGATCAATGATTCTCATCATTGATGTTTCTCTCTCTGCCTCTCTCTTCATCTCTAAAATCAATAAAAATATATTTTAAAAAAGACCAAAATAATGTAGAAATTAAAGCATTAAGCTTTAGCTTGTTTGGCTCAGTGGATAGAGTGGCAGCCTTCGGACAAAAGGGTCCCAGGTTCAATTCTAATCAAAGGCACGTATCTTGGTTGCAGGCTCCTCCCTGACCTGAGCCCAAGTTGGGCTTGTGTGAGAGGCAACCAGTCGATGTGTTTCTCTCACATCGATGTTTCTTTCTGTCTTTCCCTCTCCCACTGTCTCTAAAAATAAAAAAATAAATTATTAGAGGATTGAGTATGTGGATTTGAAATGTAGCAGAAAAAAAATTGGAGTCAATTGAGGCTAAATGAGGATTGGTGAACAAGAGTAGTGAAGTGATTAATCCAAAGCAGATAGGAAAAAAAATATTGGTTAATTAAAAAGTTGACAAATTCTCTGAATCATCACCATTTCCCCATTTCTTTTAATATTATGTCTTCAGAAACTATTGTAAAATAAGATGTGTGAGGGATACAAAGTGCATTTTTTTCTGTCTATATAATACAGATAACATAATTTCATACTATCAGGCTTCCCAAAGCACTGTGACTCAGTATTTTTGTTGAGGATATCACCCCAGGATATTTTTCCCATTGATTTTTAGAGAAAATAGAAGGGGGAGAAGGAGGGAGAGAGAGATATCAGTTGGTTGCCTCTCCTATGTCCTCTGCCTCCCCACAGGCCAGGCTGTGACTCAGTATTTTTAAAGTACTGCTTGAGTGACAGGTGCACGAAACAAGATATTTGGCAGGTTCTTATACCAAAATATTCAAAACATGTTTCCTTCTTTTGCCATTAGTAAAAAAATTATATACTATGTTGTTATAAGATTTCAATTGGAAGTGGTCTACTTTAAATAATTTATTTGATAACTAAAAATTAAATAACAGTGCCATATTCGTGTTCAATATTATTTTACTCTTTTTTAAAATACATTTTTTTATTGTTGATAGAATTACAGATATCTCCTATTTTCTCCCCCTCCCCCTTTTCCTTCCAGTCTTTACTCCTCTCTAGGTCTTCACCACAGAAGTCTATGGAAAGTTTTTACTATAGTATGCCTTGTTGCTAATGATTGGATTAGTAGGTGCTATCCTTCGGGCTTTAAGATTTTTGTGACCATTCAATTGCTAGTTAGATGGTTTTGTAAAAATACAACTGGGAATGGGAGTCAAGTGATGGGAATGAAAGAAAAAGCTCAGATAGAAAATTATTGAACACCCTCTATTTGCCTGAAACAAAATTTACACTTTATATTTAGTTCTTAAGACAGACTTTTGGAAGTAGGTGCTAATAGTTTCATTTTATAGGTAAAGTAATGAAGCCATAAAAGTTTAAATAAGTATAAGGTGAAAATTGTGTTTGTTTGTGATTGGCAAAGAGAAAAAGCATTTCCAAAAGTAGGTTAGAGTTGGCCAACCGAAACAGTTCTATTATTCTATTAACTTTCCCCTATGGTATTTATGTCAGTCCTATAACATCAAATTTATTATGTAGAATAGAAAGAACTATTGTTATTGGGAAGGATGAGGTATTCCTTCCTCCATTTAGTGTTAGAATTTTCTGAGACTTGCATAGGAGACTGAATGATTTTTATTTGTGTAGAATTACATCTGTACGTTTCTAAAGTCCCATTCCAGTCATAGAAGTATAGTTAGGGTTTCAGTGGAGCTAAATACAAAGCCAGTGTTCAGAGTTTCCATTCCAAGTTGCAGCCAGTTCCAGTTCAATATCAGGCTAATTATAGTCCATTAGTCCATTGTGCGTGGGTCTACATGGCAATCTGCTTTATTCAGTCTACTTAGTCAAATGTTAATCTCATTCAGAAACATCCTTACAAACACACCAAGGAGTAATATTTAACCAAATATCTGGGCATCTTGTGGCCTAGTCAAGATGGCATACATTAACTCTTGCAATCCACCCCTTATCAATTTAGCACCCATACACTTTTCAAAACCATATTTAATCTCCAAATAAAGACAATCCTATCTAATAAGAGGGTAATATTCAAATTAACTATCACTCCATCACAAAGATGGCAGTGCCCATAGCACTCCAACCATGCAGAGGCAGGGGCCTCTGGCCAGAGGCCAGGACACGGGATGTTGGCATCATTGCAGGCTGGGCTGAGAGACGCCCCTTCCCGTCCCCCCTCTCCCCCACCCCCTGCACGGATTTTGTACACGGGGCCTCTAATAAGATCATAATTCTACCTAATCTGCATACAATCAGAAAAACTAAACCTTTCCCCAGAGAGGAAGTAAAGTCCTTGAGGGATGTTTACTCTTCTCCTTGATATCCTGTAATTTAAATATTATGATATAAAATTACCAATACTTAAGTACTGTATGTTATGTTACATAATAAGGGAATGAAAGAGGAAAGAAAAAATATATATACATATATATATATTTATATAAAATAAGGGTTAGAAATGGGAGTGGCATCATTCACTATTACCTTTAATGATCTATTAGCAAAATTTTTGTCTCTATTTTGTGTTCAGTCAAAGAAAGGCTGTGCTGGCTGGGTGACTGGGGGGAAAAAAAAATATATATATATATATATAAATATATATATAGCAAATATATTATATATACAAGCATACTTATAATTAAAGGGGAATACTCAAGACAATTAGTTTTCATTATTATAACTGGTCATGTGATAATAGATGGTGTT